GGAGTCCATTAGTAGACCTTGTGACCTTACCTGATTTCACTTTTCCTTGAATTGGCAGGAAAAACTTTTTTTTTTTTTTTTAACTAATGCTAATATTGAAAAGGGTAAACAGGCAAGACAGGCAGTACTCGTATATGGCTCACTGGTAACTTAGTACAAGTGTAGCCATCTATGTGTAAAAACAATAAATATAGTAAACTCACAATGGGCATGGCATATACGTACATGCCATGTCTGGTGGTACTTGATGAAGGATGGAAAAATATCTGAATGTTTACTTCTTCTTGCATCTTATTTCTACAATATTGATTTTACTCAAGAATAATTTAGACAATATTCCTATAACAAAAAAAAAGCAAAAGAGAGAGAGAGAAAAAAAAGCACGACAGGCATCTTTTATTCCAAATCAGAATTAAAACAATTTCTTTGATAATGAACTGACCTGACATTACTGTTATATTATGTAGTGTAATGCCTGTATGGTAACAAGTGAAATACTGAAACAAGTAAAATAGATTAACTCAGGAAAGTGTCACCCAGACGTACATCACAAATCATTTGTTTGTATGTGTTTTTTTACCTCATTAATTTATCAGGAGAACTTGACATGAGAAATAGCTTTTGACCTGGCTCAGGAAAATGTGAACAACAGAATACTTGAGCTAGGGCAGAACCAATGGAGAAGTGTGCATGGAAAATGTACCAATGAAGAGAAGAGGAGGATACGAGAGCTAGGCTGAATGACAAAATATGTGTCGAAAAGATGCCAGTCTCTGAGCAAACCCCATTCTAGGTGCATCTGAATCTGTTATTTTGTGAGTTACTCAAACATTTCTTAAACAGGTCTCCCAAGTTTCAACTTCTAAAACCCAAGACCAAGAAGATATTGAGTAAGTTGATAAATAATGAAGTGAAAACAATCTTTCAGCTTTCCTCTTCATAACAATCAATCCAAAGTATTAGAGACCTAACACTCTTTAAAAGTCAATGGCAACAGTTTACTGTTTAACTGTGGTGTTAAATATTGGATAATCAGAGTATCTAATCATAAAAAGAAAGTAAAAATCTATGGTAACACGGTAACACCACAGTCAACCTAATGGTTAGAAAGAATTTTTTTGTGAAATGTCTGCATATAGATGGCTCTGCATGTGCTAGGCCACAAAAGAGTCAGTTAGTAGACCTTGTGACATTACGTGATTTCAATTTTCCTTGAAGTCATGGGGATACCTTTTTTTTCATTACTAATGCTATAAAAATTGATGGCGTTATTTTTATTATAGACCTTATAATAACTATAATGCTATTGACATTAGTAACAGCAGTATAAGATATCATAAAATATTTTCAGAAATCAAGGAAATGGGTACACCGGTGAGACAGGTAGTACTCATAACTAGCTCTTTGGTGCCTTACTACAAGCGGAGCCTTCTATGCATAAAAACAATCAATAAAGTAAATTCACAGTGGGCATAGCATGTACATAAAGGCCATGCCCGTCGGCTCTGGGTTAATAGGAGAATAAGTTATCATTTTGATGATAATCCACTTCCAGGTTCTTGGATCTGGGTGCCTCGCAGCCCAGAATCAGGGCGTTTGATTGGCAACTCTCCCTGGTGAATGGCTTGAAAGCCAGCACATGAACAATCATGTGTGGTGACAAGACTCCTTGACACTTCTTTGCAATGTTATTATCTCTTTTCCTGCATAAGCATTAATCTATTTCCAGGAGAAAGTAATTAAAAAGTAACTAATTACAGAATGCAAAAGTCATTTCTGTCATCCCAAAATTCTCATGACATTATGTTCCTGTCACCTCAACCCTCAGCCAAATTTTTTATCAATGGTATTTTCATGTACCCTGCCCTGGGTTCATGAAGTTAATGCATCATATTCAAGCTTTCCTGGATGTCATCTCTTCTACATTAATAAATGTTCATCATTATTATTAATTATTTACTATCATTAATAAAAAAATAACATCATTGTCACTACTAACACTGTTAATGTTATCATTATCATTAATAACACTATTTTTTATTCATTATTTTGGTTTACTCAAAAGACAAATTACTTTCAGAAAGTGCTTGCTATCCCCCAGAAACAACTTCCTTACCCCTGGTTTGAAAACCAATGTCTTAGAGGATAAGGCTAATGGATATCCTTGGCAGTTTATGGTGAATTAAAGGCTCTGTCTAAGATCTATCTTGCTGGGGAGGTTTGCTGGCCCAAAAGCCAGCAAACCTTTCTACAACTGGATGCTGAGGTTGTAGTGATCACTTGACCCGGGGCTATTAATATGTAGGACTGTAGGCTGTCCATCATATGCGTGAATATGTATAGAATACAGCCAATATTATTGCAAAAAAAAAGTCCCTTTCTGAAAATGGCTATGGATTTCTTTAAAAAGTTTCACAGAACAAAAAATGTATCATCAGGGCCCTGTAACCACCAGACAATGAAAAAGAATACTCATTATGCCGCAGGTATCACAACCTACCCGAAGTGTGTCCTGCGATGTGTCGGGCCCT